TATATAGTTGCATCAAGTAGCTACCGTAGGTATTTATTATTATTATTATTTTTTTTTATAAATGGATTGTATAATATTTACGACGTCGAATTTTGTTTTGTTTTCTTTATCTTTATATGAAACTGTTGATTGTAAACTGAAACAAAAACAATAATAGCCTATTATTTAAGGAGGAACCGAAGAGAGACTTTTTTTTTTTTCCTCATAAAACCTGGAAAAAGTATTTCTTATTAATACGAAAACAATGCAATATATTGTATACTTGAATGAAATAAATTACGTGTCTTCTCGAATTTACTTTTTATACTTTAAAATTTTACGTTTATTCTTAATGAAGAGAAATGAATGTTTATCTCAAGAACATTCTTAAAATAGTATTTAAAATTAGATAGAAAATGTAAAAATATAAAGTAAAATTAAGGTATATTTTTCGTGTATTATGAATCAAGTTAAATGTCTTTTTTTTAGTAAGAAGCAATTATTTAAACGCTTTTAGATTACTTTATCTATCAATTTTATAGAAGAATCTTATTGTTATCGTGTAAAAATACGTGTAATTTAATTATTAATGAGCCGTGACTCAATACCCTTTATTTACAAACACACTAAATTTGGTAACATTAGAGAGAGCTTGAGAAGTAGAATGGCCAGATCGATATTTAAATAACACATTTTAATATCGCTTTACTAGATTTTAGTATCTAAAATATCGACGTTGACGTCTGAAAATTTATTTAAAAAATAAGGTTATACGAATAACCAGCTTTAAACTGTTTTAAATTATATTCAATTATATTCTATCGGTGAATAATTTTAACTTAAAAAGTGTGAAGTAATAATAATAATAATAATAACTCTAGATATTTTTTAAAATATTTTTCTAGTGTCATTTTTGATAGGATAGTGTAAAAGATGGTCGAATGTTTATCGCTGTCTTTTCCTCTTCAAAATGGCAGGCGTGACTTCTTTATGGTCGACACGATATTTTCTATTAAATCTTTCTATTAATAAATAAGAAAAATTTTATAAATTAATCTTCCTGTAATTTCGAATGTTATGTAAATTAAATTTCGTCTTTTACTTTCTATATTGTAATAAAAAAAATGATGCATACCATAAAAAATAACCGCAATTTTTTTTACTCTACTTATAAACTGTCTGAATCTTAACTTACATTGATTTCTTTATTCTTGAAATGTATTTTTAATCTTACATCTCACCCTTTTATCATTGAAAGATTTTTTTTTCTATGTTTTAGTCCTGTATATCTTTCACATCGTTCCATTTAAACGTGTGCAGTTTAAAAGCTAACACAGTTCCATTTCTTACTATCACTTTGGTTTTCTTCCAGAATATTTTGTAAAGTTTTAGACTTTAGATATATGTTTTTTTTTTATTGATAATGTTTGTTTCTAATACCGACTCTCTATAAAGTTTTCTTTATAGAGAGTCGGTATTAGAGAGGGAGGGAGAGAGAGGAAAACACTGTATTTTCTCAACAATTGATGGATGGATCGGTTGAAGCCTCATCTAGTTTACGTCTGTCAGCAAATTTTTTTTTATCCATTCTATCGTTTCTGTTTATCTTATTCCCTCGGCGTGTAGTAGTATTTTTGTTTTCTTGCTCTATCAACTCTGTATCCCCTTTAGTATCATTATCACCTGTAGCCAGAATGATTACTGTTTTTTTCCCCCTCCCTCTCCTTTACATCAAACTTAAACGTTAAATATTTGAAGTTTTTATATATTAATTAATAATTTCTTTCAGAAAAAGTTGATTTTACAAAATTTCCCCTCCTCTCTTCGGCGAAATAGCGGAACAGAACACGAACTTTTTTAAAATAATAATTTGTACATTATTAATTCCGCATTTTACTTTTTTTTTTTTGTTTGTTTTATTACGTAGAAAAGTCATATTCTGTACTGGTATAACACCTATAAGGATGTAATAAACTTAGAGAGTCGATAATTATATTCCAATTATCTTCGGTATATTTATGAATGAAGATCTGTCAATTGATGAAACCAGTTCGACGAGTATACACACTTAATTTTGCCCTCTTGGATTAAGAAAATGTAAAGTAATCTGTAAAAAAAATATATATATATATATGTACAACAGATTGTTTTACGTGACCTTTTCGTAATAAACGGACTTAATTGATCACGGAGATGAGAAAAATTAAGTACTAACCTCGAATAAATTGTGTAATACATAAAAATATTACTAACAAAATTGAACATGCACTGTAATAACTCGATTCACCAGGAAGCCATTATCTTACATGTTACTGCAACATAACAAATCAGGTTAGTCTTCATTTTACTGGAACACGTCAAGGTTAATTTTAGGCTTTTCCTTTTTGATCTCTTGACAATACAATAATACTTAAACACAATTAGAGAATCTGGCATAATCGTCTCTCTAATTGAATCTAAATTGTTTTAGGCCATCGTTTATTATAAATTATAANAATCTCTTCGTTTACGAGTAAAGTACATACATAGTGGAGATGTTTGAATAATCCGATAATATAAATTTTATGTTAGAATGTCTTTTATACATATATATAGGCCTATATAATTGAATTAAGTTATATTTAGATAAAGGTTTTTTTTTCTTTCTTTTTTTATTGATAAAATATTGAAGAAATTTAAATTTTATATCACTATTTCTTTAGGATTAATGGCATTCGAATGAATAAATATTTAGTAAGAAATTAGATTAATAGATTCAGTATTTATTTTTTTTTTATACATCATTTAATTAAAAATCTCATCATATTTGAAATTACAATAATTGATATGCATGCAGTGATGAGCCTTTTACAATTGTTTATTATTATTATTATTATTATATTCTTTTTTACAAAGCCACAAATATATAATTATATTTATATCATTCTTGTTATAAATATTTACACATATAAAGAAGAATTCTAAACAATAAAATATACATTACAGAAGAAAGAATTTCTTTTATATCTGAATATACTGTAAATGTTCCACATAAAGAATTATCATTCACACACGACGTTTAACTTTTTAAATATTTATTTTATTCAATAAACAATTAATAAAATATAGATATTTAAGTCGTTGTTTGTTGCTTAAGGCATTTTATATATGTATATATATATATATATAGTAACGCTAAAATCCAGATATGTCTATTATTACATTTTTAAAATTATTCGTAATTTATTTAAATTATTTTCATTATCATTTTATTTAATCACAGCAAATTTTAATGTAATTAATCTATAAATTTGTATTTTGTATTGAAAATTATGGTTATTTATTTATTTATTTTTTTTGAGCAAATTTTAATCATTTAACCATGGTGTATACGATATTTAATTGTTACAGAACAAAATACAAACTCTCACTTTTATGAAAAAATATTATCTATATATAATGTTTATCGTTATAACCGTGATAAAATAACTGTGGTACAGATATATTTTGAACTTAAATTTTACATTCCTTGAGCAGTTTACCATCACTTTTAAGTGCATTTATTTTTATTATTATTATTAATATACAATTGTGACTATATATTTATTATATCTAAGCATATTTCAGGCACAAATTACATTACTATTTACTACATATATTTTTTTTTTTATCCATAAAATCTCCAATCATTTTGATATTTACTTTTCCAAAAAATGTTAAAAAGTTTAAAGTTTTTTTCATTATTATTTATTTATTTATTTTTTCTGAAGTTTATGTATAAAATTTAGAATACAAGGCCCATAAATAATAGACCTTTAATTTATCTCTTCATACAATTTAGAGGCATCAAAAAAAGGCTTGTTTGGCGACGTTTGTTAATATTCAGCAATGCAAACTTACATAAGGGTTTTTTTCTTTATCGACTAATATCTAAATGAAATCTCTATTAAATTCTACTTCTATCTAATTACAGTATGTAACACTTTCCTTCGTCTCTCTCGTCGGTGCTATTTAATCTAGAAACGCTTATCTTTCGGCGTATTCCCAAACTCGACAAATTACCCAAAGAGCTTAATCTTCTACTTAAACGTCGCGATACTTTTCTCTCAGAAGGTTCGGGTAGAGCGGGTTGTTCCAAGTTCTTAGCCTGTTGCAACAGTTCGATAAACAGCTGGCTGACATTGATATTATACTTGGCACTTGTCTCTATATATTTACAGTTATTCATTCTTTCCGATACAGTCTGTTTGGCCGTTTCGTGACTCACTTGACGCTCTTCTACTAAATCGGATTTATTGCCAACCAAAATGATGGGAACTTTCGATCCTTAACCAAAAAAATAATAATAATGTGGATTAAATCAAATAATAGAATAGAAAATTTACTTATTAACACTATAGAAATATTTAATTAATATTGATATTTATATGGAATATTAATGGTTTTTAAAAAGGTGAGGTTTCGTTTGAACGTCTTTATTGATCCGTATTCGCACCTGCGCTGATATATTTGGCTACACACACACATTTCCTATAGATAATTTTATAGCGACTTCGATCGCCATAGTACGAAATTCGAAATATCCAACGACTAAAGAAAGGCTTATAACAATTCATACGAAGGAATAGTACCAATAGAAGGCACCTACAAAGGGCTTTAGTTGATGATCCCATATAATAGCAACGACCCACGGAAATTGTTATTTGGAAAAGAAATTTGTGAAATTCATGAATGTCTCTATAACAGAATTATATTATTAAGTCGTTTAATATTCGTGTTAAAAGATATGGTGTTACACGTTGATTCGGTTGCGTAACAAGTATTATCTATCTATATTTATTGAGCCGTGCGTGATATTTGCGAGGAAGATTATTAAGAGATTAACCAGAAAAGACTTAGTTGCCAGGATTAACTGTTAATGAAAGAATCGACTAGGTATTTCGTTCAGAGACAAACTGGAATATTTCTTTTCAGCTTTACAATTTCACATTAGAGGAGAAATCACTTAGAAATGCTTCTATCCGAAAGACCAATTGGGAAAATCTTCCATCCTACAGAAAACAGATTCCTCCTCTTCCAAATACCATTAGTCGAATGTTTTAATCTTATCTCTTGGTAAAAAAAAAAAAATAATACATTATATCGACTTTTGTAATATTTTTCTTGTAGAAATTCTATATATATTTTAAGGAATTGAAGATACTACTAAGCTCGAAGAGTTGCCTATCGATTACAAATTTTCTTACTAGATGCCAATCTTAATTTATTATAATTAATTACAATAATTCGATAACGTATTATCGTTAACGGACGTAAATTTATTTGTTCTCTCTTTATTTTACGGAAACATTACGGTCAAATTAAATCGTTAGTGTATAAATGAGCATCCGGAACAGCGTTAATCAGACGTCACATAGCAAAATTGATGTCATAGTTCCTCGAAATAGCATCGACATTTATTGTAATATTACCTGAGGGAGATCTTATATTTCGGATTGCTTCTTTTGTTTCTAAACGATATAAAGTTTTTTGCTTAAGACGAATTCTTTACAAAAACCTTCTTGTTTTTTTTTTTTAGCGGTCGAAAGGGACTTCATTAAACACGCCGCGTTAGTTAAAAACTTCAACCGTTTACTGTCATTTATATATATATATAGGCCTATATTTACACTGTAAACTTTTATGTACACGATATTATAACAAGTTCTATATAACTTAGCTGATAGAAATGAACATGAATGAGGTTCACTTAATCATATTCTTTATCGATTGTTTCCATTCCAATCTTCTTACGGTTAGATCAAACTAGTTTACGACATAGATTAAATATCTTAGAAATTTAATAATACAATTTTTTTTTTTCAACGATGAATATAGAAGAGAATTTGTGAAATGTTTCAACGTAATTTCGATCAGTTTGAAGAGCCTTCAAAAGAATTCAAACTTATGTGCGTGTGTGATTGATTAATTTGCCGCATTTTACTTAAATTCTTTACCATAATGCAAATGACGTTTTTGATTTTCAGACCAATCCAATACCGGAAACGGAAGTTATTAAGGTTTTTTCCCCCTCTCCCTCTCTTCAAGCGAATACATTCACAATTACAGCGAGTCTCATCTCATTCCAACGTGTAATGGAGAAAGTTGTATTGAGGCTATACTAGATTTTTATTACTTGTACGAGTATTTATAGTTTTATTAAACGTTTTACAATCAAGAAGTCCATACATTATATTAGAAATCAAATATCTTCTAAAGTTTACTATTGCTTTTATTACCAAATAGATCTCTATATACAAAGTTGTATTAGTAAAAATATTAAACAGTAAACATTGTTAACTTTAGTTATAACTACATTAAAATATTGTATTTAGATTTAAATACAATTGGTAACAAGAATCTATACTAAATACAGAGTTCATTTCTTAACAGCTAATTACAATATATAATTCATTACATATTGCCTATTTAAGAACATTTATAGCATGCATGCAAAAATTCATCTAAATATTTAGATTTAAATACAATTTTTATTAAGAATCTATTTTGAATTTATTTTTATCAACATTACATAAATTTTCAATATAAACGGATTAAGATCTCTTTTCTGAAGATTTGTTGTTAATTCCTTAGCCGTGAAGTGGCAGGAAATGAGTTATTGCTAATGGCTTTCATTTTGTATCATTCTTTAGGAGAACTAGATGACAAAATGAAGTGGCTAAAGAATTTCGAACGGCTGCTTGAGATACAAAGGAATATCGTATGGCCTNATTAAAAATAATAATAATATATGAATTTATTTTAATTCCAATTTAATATATATTTTTTTTTAAATTGCTTTTTAAAATGCTAATCTTTTGGATTAATTATTTTTTAATCCAGAAAGATTAAGAATTGAGACAGGGGGGAGGATATATAAATCGAAATTTTTACAAAATATATTCCGAATAAATAAATAAATATAAAAGATATCGAAAGTCAAAATTTGTTGTAATATTTAAGAATTTATAAATAAACGAATGAACTTTTAAGATGATATGAAATATTAATATTAATGTGTTCGGTAAAGAGACTTACCTCGATATTTCGTGATCAGTTCCCAAACGTGTACTGCTTCGTGGAACGATTGCAGATTGTCAACAGAATAAACTAAGACGAAACCCCTTCCCGATTTGATACTCAATTCTCTCATAGCTGGAAAGTTATGAGAACCAGCAGTGTCCACTATTTCTACTGTATGAAATATTCCATCTAGAAAATATATAAAATGTTTTTTTTTTTTTTTNTAAAATTGTATCATAAATGTTTTATAAATGGAAATTTTAGATTACGAATGTATTTTGTAAGCTATAGAGTTGTAATAATGTTATATCCATCTTGTAAGTCTAGTAATTACTCGTATCTAGTGTAGTAAAATCGGATCAAAAGCCACGTATCCTCGTATTAACTGCATTCGATATTAATTAAATTCTCAATATTTGGATATATCGAGTCAACATTGATAAATCTGCCGAAGTTAAATGATCATCAGATACGTAAATTAATTTTTCTAAAAATATTAAAGAATTTCCATAAATTTTCCCATTCTTTTCATCTTACATCATCGAATTTAACGAATTTAAATTATTTAAAAACACATATTTAAAAGTTAATTATATTTTGTTAATAGGTAATTAGAGAAGCATTAATATTCTGTAAATTTCGTAAATAAAGAATAAGAGATAATTGATTTACGGCCGTATTTACAATTAAGGATTAGGAATTAGTGTTAGAAGTTAACTAATTATCTTTTACTTTTAGTACGTGAAACGATTATTGGTTAACTTCTAACTCTAATTCTTGATCATTATCTTTAAAAATGGCCATTAAAAACATAGAAATAAATTTAAAAAATCAAGATTATTTTATGTTATTTATGTATAAAATTCATTTTTATAAGTCAAATAATTGATATTTTAAATACTTTTAACGTGTCTATTAATTACGTGTGCAGGTCTTTTCCACTGTTGTATTTTTGACACACCTTTAATTACCTGTACAATAGTTCGAGGACCCTCTGATATTGAAAAAAATAACTAAAATATTCTGAAAATATTCTCTAACTGATAGTTTATTCACACGACTAGTAAACAAGCTTATAAAACCAAATTCCATTATAATACTATAGTCAATTCTTCACCATTGTGTATAATGATGTACTTTTTGAGACTACACTTAAACTGTACACGTAATTAATGAACGGTTCCGTGTTATGATATAGAGTTTTAGCATTAGTATTAATATAATAGTTCCATATAGCATTAATGTAACCGTGTGTGTTGTTGTCATAATGCTGTACAGAACTACAGTATTGCATTAATACTAATATTCGGATGTTACGCTACAACTTTTATTATTGTTTATTAATTAGTAAATCGATTTATTTAAAACATTTTTCTATAATTTTAATTAATTTAATACATAACAATAATTACTTATTGTTGTATTGTTTTATATATATAAACAAATAAACAATTTAATGTATTAAATTGTTTATTTAATGTACAAACAATTGTTTGTTAAATTGTATTAACAAAAAAATAATAATAATAATTTAAAGATGTTTTTAAATTTATTTAGACACATAAATTGAATTTAAAATATTTAATTAATATTATTGATTCTTCGAACTTGTTTTTTATAAGGGGGTAATTAGTTTAAAACTTAAATTAATTTCTATCTGAATTAATTTTTAATTTAATAATAAGGAAAAGTGTATATTTTCCAAATATATCATTTTATAAATGTAGAAATTTTATAATTTTTCAATTACATTTTACCAGAAATCTTTAAATTTTTTTCAAAAATTTTCATTTTTAGTAAATTAATTTAAAGTATTTTTTAATGTGTTCCAATTTTTAATAGCGTTTTAACTTCTTTAACTGGTGATTAATAGATTAATTTATTCTTTTTAAATTTCCTTCTTCCTTTTTTTTTTTCTTTTTTCAATCTTTAATCTACTTGTATCGCTGCAAAATACTTTAACCCAAAATTATTAAATTTGTTGCTGACCTCTTTTAATAAAGGCCATTAATTTCAATTAGATTCTCTTAAAATAAAGTTTTACTTCGAATAATATAAAGAATTATATTAAGTGTTTTTTTTTTTTTTGTCATGTCTTCAATCTACTTTTGTAGAAGAAAAGAATCCTTAGAATTATTTTTTATGCTGATGAATAACTAAATCAATCGTTTGTTTCTAATTATAGTGCTAATTCCAGCAGGTGATTGATTATTAAGTCTATAAAAACCTTTAGTATTAAATTCTTTAAGGATCATATATTCTTCAGCATTTAATTATGAGATGATGATGATGATGAGGGTTTAAAGTATATATATATATTGAAGCAAAATTAAAAAAAAAAGTACGTGTTCGTGCTTACTAATCACTAATTAGTAATTACTAATACTTAAGCTAAGCGGTAGGAACAGGAAACTAATTTTAATTAGATAATAGTGGTAATTAATGCCTATATATATATATATATATATTTCGCTTTGACATTTACTACTTAACATCATTATTTAATGGATCTTTTGGTTTGTGGTATTTTTTTATTATTTTATTTTAAGTCGGTAACAGAGTTAAATTCAATAGATTTATTTATAGTAGAAGAAAATGTAACAACAACAACAAGAAAAAACAAAAAAATCACTGATCAAATTATATGTTAAAATAATTTTTTCTTTCTATATACTGTAAATATAATTAATTCACTTCCTAAATAAAACATTTATAGATTTAAGCGTTAATTCTATAGAGAATACAATTACTGTTTCATTTAGAACGCCTAAAAATGCTTAAATTATACATGTTTTTTTATTGTTTGAAAGGTGATTTTAACAAGATAATAAAGTGCTAATAATTTTTTTAAAAAAGAAAAGATCGGTTAGAAATTTATTAAAGTTTAAAATAACGAGAAAAATTCATATTGTGAAAAAGCTTGATTTATGTCCTCGTTAATCAGCTACTATAATAAATTAAACTTTCGAATAGATTAAATAAAAATGTAATCATGATTAAAGTTTGAAATAATAGCACTATTTAAATATTTATTCTAGAATATATTCTTTTTATTTTCGTGATAAAATTAATTTAGGTTTTATGGACCACAACCACAATCACCACCGAGTGTGATACAACAGGGGGGGTGCAATACATGCCAATAGGACACGCAAATACAAAGTCAATTTATGTTTTCGTTTGTAGAAATTTTCAATAATATTCTATAATATATTTAAAAGAAAAAAAAAAAAAAGGAATAAGAATTCTAAAAATATGAAATTGATTAATTGAAGATGAAAAATTTTCAAAATGGCAAAACTGGAGAAAAATTTCGACATTATTGATTTATTTTGACCTTCAACGAATTTTGAGACTATTTATGTAATAAAAACATGGTTATTTTATTAATAAATAAAGGAAAAAAATTATTTAATTTTTTTTTACCGATTTGGTGTATATTATTAATCTTCTAGTCACGTTCTTTCGTTCGATTTATAATTTACCTTAAAACAGATTTATATAGAAAATTACTGCCGTTAAACTTTATCGATAATTTAATGATATCCTGATAAATCGAGTTGTATTATTCAACCGATCCCATCGATTATACAAAGAGATATCTGTCCGAACGTAAAACATTGCAGGAGATCTTTTCCACAATTAAAAAAAAAAAAAAAAACAATGATAAACTTACCGGGTAATTGAATGGTGTGTCTGTAGTAATCTTCGACGGTAGGTTTATAAGTATTGGAAAAGAAACCTTCAAGAAATTGGACAACCAAAGAGGTTTTTCCTACTCCACCCGCTCCCAGCACCACTAATTTGTTTTCTCTCATGGGACCGACGAAACGATCTAGAGACGTGTCACGTGTCGTAGGAATTATACTCTAACGACATTTTTACATGGAGTAGACATGTTAGCATTGGATACTTCTTCACTCGTTAGTAAAGCGAGGCATTGTGCCGATTGCGCCCGCTGCACCAATGACACGGGTCTAGCTTGTCGGCTAATTCCAGTGAATAGTGGCGTTCAAATCGAATGAATGACGGCATTTCGCGCATGTTTCTTAGCAGTCACGTGGGGGGATGTGAGTGTTTCTAGTGTTATTTACATCGACCTCTAATATAATTATTCCGTCGAGACCTTATCAATACGTATAAGTAAAAAATTTTTAATTTTATTTGTCTACTTCTATTACATCTGTACTTGTTTTAATAATTGTTAAAGGCACGTGTCATCAAATACTTTGTTTTAGAAAGATATATCGTTTTTTTAAAAAATACTTTTAAAGATATTGAATATATCCTACAGGATCTTTATTTTACAGTTAAGTTATAATATCTATTTTCTAGAGTTATATAAGTAATATATTTACATATTTCATTATTTTTGTTAGAGGTTTATATGTTAAACATCGAATTTTATTCTCTTCGTTAACGTTTTTTCCCCCCCTTTATTCTATTGTAAACAGAAATATTTCTGCATTCGATCAGAATTTGTTTATATGAAAACAAGCAACATAAACGACAATTCGTTTGTTGTAATTAAAGTTGTTCCTTTAGAAAACAACAAACAGAACAAGCTCTTGATGAAATCAAAATTTTCCTTTCTTTTCTAACTAAAATCACATTCAAACAAGAATAATTTCACGAAAAACTTTTGTTTTATTCCAACTGAATTTGTTCCTTTTCTCAACGATAATAATTGATTTTGCTTCAAAATTTCCTTTATATATTTAAAAAAAAAAATCCATTTTATTGTTTCTTTTTTTAAATAATAAAATCTAAAGCAAAGTTTATTCTCGACTGTTTGTTTGTTTCGTAGAGAGAATTCGTGGTTAAAAAGAAATCCCTCCCTCCCGATCTTGTTCGACATTTCAAATACTTTTTGCTTCTTTATCAAAGATAAATCTTAAAATTAATTCGATTTTCTTTCTTTACAAATTAAGAAAAGCCCATGAAATTTATGGAAATATATCTAAATTATGTCGTGTTTAAATCAAAATCTAGGAGAGTAAACTTGATATATATGTTAATTATAGCGTTATTTAACTGTGTACAAAGGAAAAAAAAAATATATATATATATTATTATTATTATTATTATTATTATTACTATTAGAGGTTATTCTGTATACAGTTTTGTTCGACAAATCTTTCTACACTGTTTTATTAGCATACAGGGTGGTCCAAAAGTCACTTAACCGATTTAGTGATTCTTGAAATACGTTTCGGTTAACTGATTTTTTTGGGGGGGCTACAAATAACAGTAAATTGATAATGAATTTATTATGTAACGAGAATTTTTTTATTATTTTTGAAAATCTTAAATGAATTCTCGACTTTGTTTGACATTAATCTGAATTTATATTTCGACATCGGTGGTATAAAAGGAGAAATAAATCGAATTAAATCTTTTCCTTTCATCATCATTATGAAAAATCGTACGAAGTTCTTCTAGAAAACAAATTACTCCATGGTTTTTTTTTTAAATCCTTATTAATACCGAATAATATCAAAAATTCTTCGAGAAATTAGAAAATTAAAATAATAATAATAATAATTATAATTAGTTTATTTATTTATTTATTTATTTATTCATCAATAATTTCTTGGTGCTTAGCTTAAAATTAAAATATAATATTCGATAGAAAAATTAATATTTTATCAAGTTTCGATTGTTTTCTTTTATAAAAATTGATATTTGAAATGCATTAAACATTAATCTTCAAAAGGGGTTTTCTTTTATTATTATTATTTCGATGATTCTCAACATAATTTATCGAAAGAAGATTAAGGTTTATGAATTAAATATCAAATTTTTATTTTAAAAATATTATAGATTTTATTAATACTCAACTTTATTTTTAACTTTTTTTCAATTGTGAATCGTACAAATAGAAGTAATAAAAACTTTTTATTCATATTAAAAAAAATAGAGTTATTTAGTGGAAATTATGAGGGAAATGTTTATATAAAAAATAAAAATTCTATTAACTCGATATCACTGATTTTTATTTCTCTATCTTTTCTTATTTATCTTCTTTGCAGTTTTATTTTTCTATAAGGAAGAAGTCAACACCATAAGAGAACATCTGTATCTACAACTCGTCATCGATAAAATAAAATAACACTCTTCTATTAAAATACATTTAAAAACATCATTAAAAATCTCTCTAATTATCAATTAATACGTTAATTTAATTATTTATATTAATTTACATAGAGACGTTTTTTTAATTTTTTTTTCTTTAATATATTCGTTAATTCGAATTATCTACAGCGATAAAAATAAAATAAAATATTAATTAAATGAATTACCTTCTTTAAGCAATAAGGAAAATATCTGCCATTATTAAGTATTTTATTTGGAGGAAAGAGGAAAAAAAAATAATGGGTATTTAATTTTGTGTTAAATAAGGTAAGAATTAATGAGAAGAAAACAATTATCTTTTATAATTGATGCTGTAATATAGCATTATCTAGAAAATCCATATAAAATAACAAATCTTAACTAGTTAAATTAATAATTATACTATTAAACTTTTACAGTCTATTGTTAGAAAAATTAACACCTCCATCAAAGAGGTCAGAATGATTTATTTATTTATTTATTTATTTATTCACTAACTTAACGATTATATCTTTTAATTAACGTTATTGCAACTTTTTAAAGTCAATTTTATTTTATTTTTCTACAATTTAATAAATAAAACTCTGTGTAATTAAACTGTAAATGCGCTCTATTCCTTATGATGAAGTAAAGGGCATTAAATAATGATTTTTTTTTTTTAATCGTCAAGTGCTTCTGGATGAAATAATAACACCTAGTAAGTTATTAGTGAATATCGTTCAGTGTCATTGATAAATCTGAAGTTATCACTAAGTACTCCTTGATGGAGCATTAATGGGATAGACTGCTCTTCGGGAAATATCCTGTAGATTCTATTCGATATCATTAATATTCTTCCGTATTCATCAACATTGATATAATAATGTTTTTAATATATCATCACTGACTAAATTGTTAGGCGTGCATTATGTATTAATAATAATAATAATAATCATTTGTTTTAATGACCGGTAAATACGTTTACTCGAATTGTTACGGATAATCGAGTGCTCTATCATAACGCCATCTGTGAATATCGTTTTTAAGTTATAGAAATATCTTAAAAGTGTAGAAAAAAATATTTTAAATGTTTCTTTATAAGTTAATTACTTTCGAGGTTAAATTGTGTGTAAATACTATACAGTACACTAATTAATAATATGTATTCTATAGTCTAACACGTAACTGTATAATAAATATAAAATAAATACAGTAAAACCTTGTAACAACACCCACTGACTTTAAAAAAAATGGCCGCCGTTTTGTTGGAAGTTTGACTGTATTTGATCAATTTACNAATTAAGGGAACAATTAGAAAGGAATGGCAACAATGATTCTGACACATGATACAGTATCAATGGGTCATATATCAGGATCCGAACCAGTTATGGAGGACAAATATTGACGATACTCCACCTGACGAGCGGTCACGAAACTATATTTTTTCCTTTCTTTCTAATGATAATCTCTTCCCAGCTGTGAATAAATAAAAAAAAACAATAGAAAAATTCTCTTTCGTATTTGATTTATGTGTAAATAAATTGTAGAATTCGTACTTTTGAATAGAGTATGTTCTTTAAAGGTATCAATAGAGCCATTTATACATTGCGTGACATTATCTCGTACACGACAATTACTTTAAGATTCTATTAAACACCTTTAAGCATTCTCTGATCAATAAATATTTTATTAGAACTTAATCAATGTTGATTAAACCACTAATAATAAGGTTAATATTTTTATAATCATATTGTTCTTATGAGAATTATTTACGATCATAATAAACGATAAATTTTATGGGATTATTATTATTATTTTTTAATCATCATTATCTACATTATTAGAAGATAAAATTTAATACAAGAAAGAGGATTATTAGAAAAATATTATTAATTAAAAGACTATTTTTATATATTCTTATTGTCGTAAAAGGAAACGACAATCCAGGAAATTAAAAATAAAAAAAAAGAAAAGAAATTAATCATCCTCGGTTAAATGACTTTAACCATTTTCAAGCTTTAAATAATAGGAAGCATCTTGATCCAAATCAAATTAATTATATTCTTAATGATGAAAGGGGGGAGATTCGAAAGTTAAAAGAAGCAAACGTCTCGTTAATCAGTACACACGATGACATTGCTTCAGAGTATCGAACGAGTCAACGAAGGAAGGTCGTACTTCATCATCATCAATCAAATTATGAAGTATACCAATAAATATTAGAAACTTTATATTTTGCATTTAATTTTTGAATTTAAAAACTTGTTTCTGTTCAATCAATCACTGAATGAGAATGTCATCCACCATTCTGAATTCGTTTTATTTGTATAGATTAGATTACGTATCAGTTCGATTTTAGAAGTGATATATAATTCAATGTTTATATTAATTGTACTAGTTAACTCGTTTAGACTCAGTCAAGTTTATTTTACTAATTTCCAAGGATATTATTCTATGCACCAAGTTAGTTAAAGCTACAGCCTACGTTGTGTCTCTGAAATGTCTGGCAAAACTTTTGATATAAGATCTACCAAGGGTAGATATTTCTCGAGAGGATATCCTATGGTAAACTGGCCCTATAGAGGATATCCTATGGTAAACACATAAAACCGCTTTCATCTCTATTGAACCTCTAAGTAACTTAAACTTACATCAACGCTGAGAACGTTCCTAATTAAAGCTCTAAAAGTGTAGGAGCTTTCAGACATTCGGCCAGGTACGATCTCATGTTGGCTCAGATCTTTTGCGTATTGCCTTCCTAATACATGGCAATACGTGGTACAACGAGTATTCCACCCATTCGCTGAGCAGCATTGGATCTCTCCGTGTTGAATCATACGCATTCTATCTTTTATTGTTTCCTTTGTACTGGAAATTTAAGGTAAATTTCCAGCACAAAGGCTTATTAAGAGGATAAACATTTGCTTCTCGGTTGGAACAATATTCATAGCTGGGG